CCCGGCAAAATAGCCCGCGGCACATGCGTCGCCAAGCTATTACACGATCCTCGTCGACTCCCTCCACGCAATTTTCGCCTCTTCCCAATTTGTCCTACACGCGACTCGAATTACGGGGACGACACCAACCTGGCCCGGGACGGCCGGCGCGCGATTTATTGCCGGCGTTTAAGCGTCCCAAGTGTGTCATTGGGGTGGAATCGACCCATACGTAATTAGGATTCTCTCTTATTCGCGACTGTCCATACCTGTTGTCTGGTCAACGAGACGAGTCAGCAGAAATAATCAAAACATTCGTGTGCTAGGCCCAGGTATTGGCTGGTAACTGTCTCTCTGACCCTGTCCTATCTCAGAGATGGACAAATTCGTTATTTAGATAAAGAGTTTCGAACAACGAATAGATGATAATAACATAGTTCATTATTTTCAATCGTTTAAAACGTGGAAATTCCAGTTTTTATAATAAAATAGTACTTCTTCAGTGAATTTGGAAAACCATGATTTGATCATAGTAAATATTTAACCTGTTGGCTCCGAGGCTGATACTGGGAATCCATTATGAATTTACAGTTAATTGTCTTTTTTTTTAAGTGTAAATAACGTGTGATAATGTGGTTGGTTTTAATTAAATAAATTTCGTTACCACACGTGCTAGAGGAGAATATCGTGAACGGTACTCTGTTTTATCCAGACTATGGGGTAAAATCGTAGACGCAAAGTATATTTAAATTGGCTACTTTTTTACATTTTTCTGTTCCCTGAGAAATTCGATGTAAGCTATTGTTTGGTGAAACGATTGTTTTAACGAACCAGGGAGTTATGAAATTATATTCTTAGAGTCCCCGTTTTACCCTAATTTCTCCTAAAATATAAATTGTGATTTTTTGTAGCATTTCTAATACATTTGGAAAGAAGATTAGTGCTTTATACGGTGTAGTAATAAACAAACGAAATTAGACGTCTGAGGATCGACTGGTAAGGGTTCTAATCTATATTTTCGTCTTGTCAGACCAATAAACGTTTAAGTATTCTGTGTGTCATGGTCCTCGTACACCTTAATTCGAGTAAGAATCTTGTGTTTGGATTCCCGTGTTGTGTTTGGACAAGTTGTTAGGTGAATTCAGTGTCCCGAGCGTTGAATGTGTCAGACCTTTTGAGGATCGTAGGAGGTAGAAGTGGAAGAAAAATAAAGAGATCGAACCTAATGGATTAGAAGCATTTTTGCTTGTACAGAAAAACAGTAATCAACTCTCTTTTTCGTGATTATTTTCCCATGGCAATGTAAATACAGACCTGGAAACAATTTAGGATTAATTTCATGTCATGTAAAGGATGACAGAATATTGACCAACTCCACTTTCTTGTGACATTGACTCGTACTACTGCGATCTCCAATATTTTTACTTCATCTTTCATGTATGATACTGTGACTACTATTTCGTTATTTATAGTGAGCAAACACATTGTTTACACAAAAAAAATATTTTTAAAAATGCTTTAAATAGTCTTAAGATGACTAATTGGTTCTTGATTTTATGAAAAAAATTTGTATACCAGAATACCAAAAAAATGCTGTGAGTAGATTAAATCATAATCGATTTTAATTTAGCATACACTCAAGACAGGTAGTTCTAGTATTAATAACCAACAAAAAAAGTCTTTAAGTGCCACTTTAGTGAATCAAACCGACGAATGAATCTTCAATGAATTGAGTCGCTTAAGTACGTCCTTCCTAAGTTTCAGCGATTTAATCGTAGCCAAGTGGAATCGACGACGATCGAAAAGGATTTGATGCACGAACGCGCGTAATTTGAATCGCATCGGGTGAGACACACCGTTCTCAGCCTCGCGCATTTCCCAATCACAGTCGGTCGAACTTTCAGCTAATAATTCCGAGTATTCTGACAGCCGGCGAAGAAAGTTTCATGTTCAAACGTCGTGTTTCACGATTATTTTCCCTCCATTCGGGCGGAGGAATGCGGAAAAGAAAAAGCGATTTCACGGGGATAGGGCAAAAGATTCCAGCTGACGACTTCTTCTTCGACACGGGGGAACTTCTATGAAACGTTGAAGTTCTGATATCAATTTCCAGCGACTACGACGGTCATAAACGACGAACCTGGGTCTTTCGTGAAGACACTCGAAGTTCCATTGTCGCGTAATACTAGACTCGACGGTCTACATATAGTGGTCCGTATCAACTGCCAATATTTCGCATTTCTGTCTCGAATTCCGGTAAAATTTAGAAGAAAAAACACATATTTTTGTTAGATTTTATCCTGACGATTGAACATTTAACAGGTCACTGCCACGCTCCGCTTCGAAAAAGTTTTCCATGACGCCAAAACGTTTTTTTGCAGACATATGTTAATTTACATCTATATTAAATGGTTGATGAAATTTTTTGCAACGGAATAATACGTAAAAACAGGGACCTCGCTATTCCTTATGAAAACATAAGAAATAAATATAGAATAAAATTTAAAAATTTTAATGGATACGAGTACTAATGCAGAAAGAAATACTGTTACTTATTTTCTATCCTTTATTTGAAACTTCTGATCTACATAACAAATTTGCCATCTCTCGCGGGAGCGATATTACTACAAAAAGGAAATAGAAACTGAAAATAAAATATATCCATCTGGAATTTTTAAAAAAAGTGACGTTGAATATGTATCTAGTTTTGTGCTTTAAAATATACGTCTGTCTGACGTGTCTGTCTAGCACTGACCGTTTCTACTTAGAAGAAACAGAAATTTGCGAGACACGATCGTTCTTTCATCAATCGTATTATCATTTTTAACAGTAGCAGTCAACTTGTTAAACATGTTATTATTGTTATCATAATGTATCGAGAATAAATAAATATTAACACAGAATTTCAGTCGCCACCGTGTCCACTAAAAATTCATAAACGCTTGAACCATCTCTATATGCGGAATCGTAAACCCGTACGGAACGACTAGCGTAGAGAAATTTGTCGCGTTCGTTTTCCAAACAATTTTTCAGACGATCGAACAATATTCCGACGGCTGAAAAATATTTGCATGACTCCGGGCAAGGTGAACAAGTATATGAACAAAAATGGAATCGTCAGAAAATGACAGTGAAAAATGTTCAGAGAGAGATTTTCAGGAAATTGAAATTATCCAAAGAATGAAAGATGATTCTACAATAAACAATGGTGCTGATTAGACTTGAATTTAGTTCAACTTTACAATTCAGTTTCTCTGGTATTGTTGCTAGATACCCGACAATTTCGTCGATGGAGAATTTCGTCGCAGACTTCGCGGTAGAGCATTGGAGGCGTCGGTTCTCCTCAAAGCCTTTCATTAATTCGTTCGAATAAGAGGCCAACTTCTCCTATTAATTAAATAGATTATTGGTCTCCCGTGAATGGAAGCGACGGTGTATAGTTAGACGAAATTATGCGCTTTAAAAATACAGGGTATGGAGATAATAATGTCAACTCTATGTTTGTAGGCATACATACATATATGAAAATGAAATCACTTATGGTGAGACTTAATAAAAGCAGAATTCCTTTCGTGGAAGGTCATTCACTATTCTCATATTAATTAATAACTTTTCTCTCGCGTATTTATATTTATAGTGTTTCTCACTAACTATTAGTATTCATAGTAATGTCGTTTGAATATTTTCCTATGATGTAAGTGACAGCTGGATATTATTAAATTGGGTTGTCTCTTCTAAAATTGAATTGTCTCGATTAAAAATTTCTGTTTGGCTTTTTCATTAGCAATAAATGATTTTTAAACACACTATTGTGAATGTTGTTTGTACTCTGACGATGTAGAATATATCTTAAATGTTAGGGTATTCTTACTGGAGAAGGAAACTATAAAAAAAAGTTACCAAGAAACTTTGTTAGAGCACTCAAAGAAAACGGTATTGAAAGTGCGGTAATGTTAGTTAAGCGATGAAGGAAGTTGGCTGTTTTTAATTCACGAGAACCGGAATTGCGCTCACCTGTTGCACGATGAAGTAAATCGAGTATACGGTGGGAAAACGGGAATGCTCATAAATTATAGTAACACTGCACTTGTTAAATTTTGAAAATGAAAAATACTCTGATATCGTGGCAATAAGAATAAAGTACGAAATGTCACGTATTGTACAGTGTATAAAGCATCAACCGGTTAGATAATTATTCTCTTCTTGTCAGATACACCGAACACACCAGAAACTCTTTGAATAAACAATGTATCTTCCACCATCGTACCCGCGTTCCATTTTCCAGGGTCATTCAGAAATGAGATTCTCTGATTGTTTCGGTACAAAGGCTTTACCATTCAACCACAAACTTGAAGCTCGAAACAAGGACACTACTCCGTTACTATCTTTCCACCCCCACACTCCCCCCTGCCCCCTTCAATGAACAGTAAATTCTTACGATGCTATTGGACAAAGAAAACTCACAAACTCATGGAGATTAATGGATCTGCATTCCTGTTAGAAATTTTGGAAAGTAGATTCTATATTAAAATTCCCTACTTTTAAATACACCCTCGAACAGACACGATCATTTTCCAATAATCAGAAATGCGATTCCCTGATTGTTTCAGTACAAAGACGTTACCATTCAACCAGAAACTTTTAGCCCGAAACAAAGACATTCCATTACTATCTTTCCACTCCAAAGAAGAATTATCGCGATGCTATTGCACGTAGAAAACTCCGAAACGCATCGGGATCAAACGATCTGCATTCCTGTTCGAAATTTGAAACAACGTGCTAAACCTCGTTAAAGATTCAGTGTTACACCTGGGGACCTCTCCTCACCTGAGGAGCTTTCGAACACTCATCGACGGTTTACTGTAACGACCGAAGTTTCGCCCGTTTTCTCAGTCTACAGAGTCCACAGTCGACTCGATTAATTATTTCTCGCACAAATCACGCACTAACGACAAAATGAAGAACCAAGGTCTCGAGGGTTTCTCGCGAGGCCCGTGTGTTTCGCGAAAGAAGCGGCTCACCTGTTGCTGGAAATGCGACGGGACAAGTTGTTGTTGGCACCTTGGAGGGGGTGTGTGATCGGATACCGAGTAGTCAGTTGTCCTCGCCGCGAGAGTACGCGATAACTGTTCGTTCCTCTGCTCACGTGTGATTCGCAGCCGAAGGAGTTTTGGGGTTGACTGGTAGTCGTCGCCTGGCACCCACGACTTTGCTGTCTACGCGGGAATGGCGATCGTGGCGTCGCGACGCCACCCTTTATACGTATGTAGCCTGATGTAGCCAAAGTGGTGTTTGTCCCCGGTCCTACGGGGTGTGCGTGCGTACCACACACCCACCCCTCTTCTCTGCTGTCCCACTCACACTCCTGAGGACGCTCGAGCCAATTGTCTGTCTCTGTTGCGCGCTCGCGACGTCGTCGTCGTCTGCACACCTTTGCGCATACGCGCGATCCACTGATGGGCATTCAATTCTCTTCGTGTCGTAAGACCCTACGGCCAAGGTGCCTTCTCGTGAATCGAGGAACCTGCTTGAACTAACCCTTTCCTTTGTCCCTTAACCTTTTTTTGGTAAATTTGGGAATTGATGAAATTTGCGGGGAAATTGCATATGCACGAATTTTGTTTCGTTGGAAGAGACCTCTTTGAATGTGGTATATACATTATTATGGAATCTTATAGCACTCTATGATTATTTACCTTAGGTTTATTGAAAATGGTACCATATTAGGGAGAAGTTCTTGAAGTGTAGATTAGGGTTTAATTTGTGGTCGTATGATTGGGTATACCAATAAGTAATCCACTGTGGTTTCGATAACAGGGTTATTAAAATTATTTAAAAAAAAATGGATGACTACTATATTGGTATACTCAACATAAATATTATTTTGGGTAGGTGGATTTTAACAGTATACTGCATGTGTTTACAAAAAATGTCTATGTCTTGCAGATATCTGAGCGATCTCAATTGATATTTAATTCATCCGTTTTATTAGTTTCTTTTTCGAAGAACTGTCTCTTCAGAATAGTTTATATTAACGTTACATTATATGTGAAAAAAGTACGAATAGTGTAATTTTTAAACCATTTCCAATTTTTAGCAATCTTCGAAGCAATTCTATTATTGGAGAAAAAGTAGGGTATCTTTTTCGAGGACCAACTGACACGCACATATGCATTTCCGTGGACTTTCTTCTTCCTCCTTTTTTTCACAGCAGCATACCCACGCGTGACCGGGTTTTTTTTCGTAGATGAATATCTTCGTCCCTTCGTTCCCCGGTATTTCGCTTTCGTTGGTACAGGCAACAGGTCGATCGTTTCGCCCCTTAGACGAATACCACCGACCTATTCACCTTTACCCTCCGTAAAGTGAATTTTCGTGGTATAGTCAGACTGCTTGTGAATGCTCTGATTTACATGGAGGATTTACTGAAAAGTCATTTATCTAAATTAAACATGAATCTTCGTTTAACCTTTTCACAGGTGTAGCCATGTATATGTATACAACATTCTTATGTGTCCTTTAGTACGCATGAAAGCCGATAAATTGCACATATTGTTAGTATAATATATTTATTGTTTCACTAAACCGATATAATGTTATTTTTATTATAACGTTCTATAAGTAGTGATGTCGAATTTTGTTATTCTAAAGTTCATTCAAAATTGAACCGTTTCCATACGTAACATGCAAGAACTGAAAATAGAAGTGACTTTAATGTAACCATCGGAGTAAAAACAGTGCTCGTAAATTATAATTAAATTTCTTCAAAATACTTCTCCTTTTACATAGTTAAATTGATATAAATATGACGGTCCTATATCATCTATTAATAATTAGACAAAAATTATAGCACAATTATTCTAGTAAACATTGAAAACATATCACTACACTATACAAATTCATCTTTCTTATAACAATATTCGATGCAAAGTTTCCTACCACCCAGAGGATACAAAGCTTTAATTTCCAATAATCAACTACACTTATGCCAGATCAAAGAGTAAGAAGACATCCATTTAGCCGTCAATCATAAAGCAATAATCGTCTCCACTTAAATTAAACACCCATTACCGTTTTTCTCTCAAACAAATATAAATCCAAAATCGTTCCTCGAACCATAAACCGGAAGGGCGGTCATACGGAGACAAAAGTGGACTATAAACACCAAGGGAAAAAGAAGCTATTCCAATTTTCGATGGAAATTTGTCGTAGAATTTCCCGACCGTAAAAGAAAACTCGGAGCAAGACCAACGATTCCGCGGCAAGGTTATCCATAATACGTTCGCTCGCGAGTACACGTCCACGTATTCCACTTCCGGTGAACGCGGCCCACCGCTGCGCCGGTGGCGGAGCTTGCATAAGCATGGGAACGCTGATCGCACGGATTTCACCGTCGTCCTTTTGCCAGGGCTTTTCGCGGCCCGGGCATTTACGACTTTTCCTGTTTACGAGCGGCCACGGAAATCTCGTCGCCGGGAACACGTGGCTGATGGCACTCGTGGTTTCCGGTACGGACGTCCGTGAACGTCGTATCGCGTTTCACCGCTGCAACTTCGACCGTATTTGATACTGGCAAGGATATTGTCGTTGCAACACGTTATTATTATTTATTTGAAAGCACAATGCGTATGTTTGTTGATACTCGGTTAGTCCCAAAAGTTTCCGAATTGAAGGTTTCAGCAGAAATTTTTGGTAGGATATTGACACTTTTTATCAGCAATTATTGAAAGTACTTTGCCCCTGAAGTGGACTGTAAAGCAAAGTGTGCTATACTTAGTTGTGAAACGAGCTCTTATCAAATTTGTTCAGTGACGGCGGGGACCATTTTTAGATCTCAGGATTAGGATGTTCGGAGACATTTTTGAAGCTTGGAAGCTTGTGCGGAATCGTAGGAAATTTATTCAGAACTACACTGTGTGGCATAACGATATAACCATCCTGAAAGTTTCAATCCTTATTTATTGTGGTTAAAATAAAAAGGAATCACTTTTTTTTCTAGGGAATCTATAATAATATATTCCTTTTTAGAGAAGCATTATTTCTCAGCACTTTTATTCCTAATGCATAATATTACATTCTTTCGTTACAAATATTTTTAACCCAATGACAAATGTTCATTTCATTCCTATATTTCTTAATTATTACTCACTCGTTCTATTATTTAACCAAAGACGCAACTGTATCGGAAAATTGTAACGGTGAACGAAGATTTATTCGACTACTCCCGAGGATGATATATTCTACAGGAACATAACGCCTCGCGCACGGAAAGCAGAAAACCACCATCGATTTTGAATTGCAAGCGGGAAACCGCCGTAATGGTTGGCCGTCTTATGCATGAGAACCTGGTGCGCATTAATGCGCCTAGGAAGTGTATCTTACATCGTAAGACGAACGGGAAAACTTTTTCGATAAGCCAACGGCTAACTAGGAGATCACGGGATAAAATGGGATTAGAAGTCGCCGGGGCGCCATTTTCCATGAGAGATCGAGTAAAAAGATCGTCACCTCGTTGAAATTATCGTGGACCTGACTTTATATAGAAAGATTCAACTGCCTATAGTGAAGAGCTACAAATGATTCCCGATAAGACTGTTTATTAATTCGTCAGTTGTTATCGTTAATTGCCATCCGTCATTTTGAAGAACTGGTAGCCGACTACCAGACGGTTTCAGAACAAATTAGGAAGTCTTCTAAATGAGATTCGCGAAGATTAAAGCTAGAGGATATTCTCGCTGAAACTTCTCTGTGGGAAATGTTTAAGAAAATTTATTTCACAGGGACAATCAGTTCCACTATTGGAAAGCTACAAAGAGGATAGCACGACGCTTTTAACTTTGCAGGATGAAAAAAGGGCTTTACCGTTCGATCGTAAGCATCAAGTGCGTTGTTTCGTCAATGAATATTTTTCGGACGCGCTCGAGAATCAGCGAACGAACGGGAGGAGACAGAGGGGACCCGATTTGCTGTCGGATTTTTCATGTTTCCGAACGGACACGCCGTTACACGAGCGCTGACACTTTTCTCTTCAACGGAAAAACGGTATGCCGTCGTTCCTCGTTACACCGGCCGGTTATGAGAAAACGATTTTTCCCGGTTAATTGACCGGCTACGAAAATACTATTCCGAGGTTGCTCTCGTAACGGGATACTGCGGAACATAGGGAAGAACCATATATTTACTTTTCATTTCTATCAATCATGCCGGAGGTATCGATAAATGTCGCCCCTATGTAATCGATATTTCGATATTTCGATATATCAATAATATCATTAAAATATTGTTAAGGCGAATAGAAACTATTCAGGTAGACTATAGCACATTAATTGTAATAAAACCATTTAAAATCTATTTATTTTTAGTTGAACGTATTGCAGACAACATATTGATGTATTTTTGGCTGGAATCTTGTTCTTCTGTGTGAAAGAATTTGTATATTTATATAGATACATACAATGTAAATTATAAATATAACACACACATATATTGTTCTCGAAATTATATTTACATTAGAAATTATAAAAATGCCAATTCATATTTGATGACATGTTTCTTTTCATTTATTTTGTGAAAACTCTGATAAAGAATATATTTGGTTGGACAAAGAGGTAATGTTAGATTTCTCCAGTAGGTGATGCCTTTTTTTATTTCAAGTACAAAGCACGTTCAAGACAAAATCATTACGATTCAGTTAAATTTTCTTAATTGACCTTGTTCTGAAAATGTGTGACGAAAAGGTGTACTTTCAAGTAATTATGCTTTTTCATTTCGTGGAAGGGAAAAACACGGTACAAGCAACAAAAAAAGATGTCCTATATGCACACGGTGATGGTGTTAGAAACGAACGGACATAAAAAAGAATACGTAATTGCTCAAAAATACATCTTTACATCACTCACGTTCAAAACAAGGCCAATTCAAGAAAATTTAATGTAATCGTAATAATTTTCCTTTTTGTCTGCTTTAAAAATTTGTGCAAGGTTTAATAAAAAAATTTCTGAAAATTTATATCTAGTTTAAAAAATATTTATTTGGTCATCAATATTAATGTGGTCCCCTTCGAAGTATTCCCCATCGGACATAACACACTTACGTCAGCGTTTTCTCCAACCATCAAAACACTATTGAAAAATATTATAGTATTGATACAACAAAAAAAATCATCCACTAATGCAGATATCCGACATTATTTTTTTGGTCGACCTGATCATT